GCATCTGGTCAGCCAGAGGAGGAGTAATCCACCACCTGGGAAAAACACGTTTAGCACTCTACGCACCATCGCTATGCGCTCTAGTTCTTGTTCATCTGAGCGCAAGTAAATTCCTATATTGCCATGTCATTGAAGACTTTCTATGAATTTACATTTTTATAGGCAGTGATCACTTTATATATATATTTTTTTTTTTTTTAAATTTGTGAGAGCATACTACGGGTTCTTACTTCTGTGATCTATACTAGCAACATCCCAAGACAGCAAATACACTTCTGCCTTGGGAACCGCCTGGGTTATGTTTCCGTACTGGCTCTGACACCCCGTGAAGGAGATGTTTTGACATCCTGATCTTCAAGCATGTGCCCTGCTGCTCTTGTGCGAGTTAGTTATTCTGCAGACAGCTACAGCAGATGAAAAACAAAAGCAAGCTGTCAGCCAGGACGATGCGGGGGAAGAGGTGGGCCTAGGAGCTTACCCGAGTCCTTTGGAGGACAGGCTCCGAGGCTGGCACGCTGGAGAACACCCGACGCTGCAAGGGCGGTTGGTCTGGGCAGTTCCGAACTGAACTCCGTTGCATCGAGTGGTTTGGCTCAACGTGTCCTCTGCTGAAGGGAGGGGTAACGGGGCGTCGCTGGAGACCTTGCAGCTGAGCCTGTTCCTACAGCTTAACAGCGCGGCTCACCGGCTCTGTGGCTCAGCCAGGCGAAGCCGTGCGCGCCTCGGGATGGAGGGGTCTGCGCCTCCAGCTGCACGTCCTCGGCTGTTACCAGACATGCCCAGGACACGGAGAGTGTCAGTGGAGAAGCTCTGAGCCCACGGCTGTGTTGTAAAACGCTTTTTAATGCTGTATTAGTCCATGCTTTTTAAATTCCTTCTAATAAAATTTATCTAATGATGTCCCAAAACATTGTGCAGTAAAAACCCACTACATGAAGCGATGTGGGATCACGAACGCTATTTGAGGGCAAGTTTATCACCCCAGACCTAGTGACGGCCAGTCCAGAATCACGGGCAGTGGGCTTCGTCAATTTGCGTTCCGCTGTTACTGCCTGCATTAGGTCTTTGTTAATTTGCTTTACGAGAGCTGTTCCAGCCCTCGCGCTTTGGCGCAGCGTTAGGGGATCGGTAACGCAAAAGCTGGAGCAGGCAGGTCTCAGATAATGACCGTGGGCATCAGCCTAATTAACCGGGTACAGCAGATGGCAGGAGCAGGGCTCATTAGCCAGTCACCCTTCTAGGGCAAGGCTGTTGCTGGAGGCCTTGTCTCTGCTGCCAGCTCTGTCGCACAAGCTGCGGCACGGAAGACTAGTGATCGCTGAAGTGATCCTGGTTCTAAAATAAAGACATTTTACGGACGCTTCCACCAAATGTAAGCGTTTATTTATACAAGAAAAGCAGAATAAAGGTATTTAAAAAAACCAAACCTTGCGATGGCATTTCTGGGGAAGACTGCTATGGCAAGGCAAGGGAATGTAAGCTGGCTCTTCTGGTTTGTGACGGTTAACGGGATGCCTTGTTCAGAAACTGTTAGTATGAAAAATAACTACCTACTGAGCTGACAACGTGGCTTAGTCTGCATTATTCCTCAGGCATGAGAAGTACTGCACTTCCTCCATTAAGAGAAATATTAGCAATCATTGTGCTTGCTTTCCTTTTTGTACAAAATATTTACATTTCTGTTCCAAATAAATACAAATTACAGCATATTAACCCACAAAAGTGGGATTTAAAATCAGGTAACCTGCAACTTCGTTTCTAGCCGTTCTAATCCTCTGCATCAGGGGAGGGATTTTTTTTTTCCCCCTCCATTATTTCCAGCCCCAAATAAGGACACGATACATCTCGAGGGATGTTAAGAATCTCCTTTATGCAAGTGTACACTGTATGGCCAAGAGCACTTGACAGGGTGATGCTGTGTACGGTACCAAGATGGACAGACGCCAAGCCAGAACTAATACCCAGCTCCAGAGTTTTTCCATTGTTTAGTATAATTTTACATTCTGAATGAATATATATTAAAAAAAAATAAATCACAAACCAATCTTTGCTTTGACAAACAAACCTATTACAGACAATGTCAAGTTCATTTAAAGCACAAGGAAGTAATGATTAGAAAAGCTTTAATTAAAAGGCCGTTTGAGCTACAGCCGAACCACTGCAGCTCTTCCTTCCTAGTAACAAAAAAAAAAGCCAACCCCCCAACTCCTCTTGCCGGGCTCATACCATTCTTCAGAAAAAAACCAAAGTCAATGCAGGTTATTTATTGGTGAGACATTTCTTCCTGTATAAGAAGCTTCATTTACACAGCGAGGTGTAAACAGCATTGACTAAAAGTCTGTTATTCGTAATCATAAATAATTAATTGTAATAAATATGTTATCAAGTAACTTTACAGCACGCTTTTCAGGGCCAAGATGCAGATACGTTCCACTCAACTGTGCTCTCTGGAAGGAGAAGAAAGACAGCAGCAGCTTCTTACTCGCAGCTGTAACCGCAGCCTTGGAAACGCTGGCATACCGAGTCCTCGCACCCCTGCGGGTGAGGTATTTGACCGCGCTGCAAGTCCACCCAAAGCATTACGGGCTTGAAAGGGGAGATCTAAACCCGATACAAACCCACGATCCAGCCGGCAGAAAGAAACCCCAAACGCATCGTTGTCAGCGACAATCCTTCTGCTGTGAAGGTCAGCTGACGTTCTTCACGCTTCCTTGCGGCACCCGTTTGGGAACGCACGTCCCAGACGGGAATGAACCGGCTCCAGGCCATTCCTCCTGCTTCGTTTTCCCCTCGGTCTTCGCAAACTCCACGTGCGTTTGCGCTTACTCCGAATGATTTCTCAGCTACACATATGCTTCTACCAGGAAATGGACAAGATTCAAGAGTAAATATTCTTCCTACATGTATGTGTTCCTTTGAAAGGGCAATATGCAATAGAAGGGTAACACAGCTTTCCTAACCACGGGATTTGGAGACTCTGTATGCCAACAACTATCTCTACAACTGTTGCACACACATTTTTCCATTCGCTCACAGGAGAACAAGAATATACACACTTGTTTAGGCTTTTCTCTCTTACTCGCATCTTCCAAGTACCACACGCTCGTAGTTCCCAATATTCACAATAATATACAATAAATACAGCTTTTTCAATTCCCATTACCACTGGCAAGCCAAATGAGCGTATGCCGTCTTCTAAAGAGACATATAATACCAACCTTAAAGTACAGTTACACACACACCGTCGTAGACCTTTCGTGTGGCTGATGCGCTAAGCGCATCGGAAGGAAAATAACGAACTGGCAGCTCAGTACTGGCACTTAACTTACAAATAGTACCGAGCCGAGTAGCACAGCAGTGATTTCAGTACGTTCTCTTCGGTTCTTCAGCAGGCAGGTAATTCTCACTTGTGCCGGGTTCTCGGCGATTAACAAAGCAACGCCGTACTTTTAAATGCACCCGGTGCAGGGCAACCGCTTTTATACGAGTAGAGGAAGGTACAGGTGTTGATGTGGTGTTTTGAAACCACCCCGGAACATATTTCACGACATACAAAAGTTAAACTTAGAGAATTGTTCCCTCTCTGTAGTCTGCTATTATCTTCCCATATAAAATAGAAGCTTTATCTTCAACCAAGTGACTTCGTGTCTTCCCCCCACCTCATCCTCCTTTCGGGCGTCACCCTCCTAGGATAATTTGCTCTTAGATCAAAGATCATTTCTGAGTACAAAAATGAGCTCCAGGTGTTTAACCACACACCGATTATTCTGAAAGCCTGTTCGGAAATAGGATAAAGTCACAGATTATAAGCTTGAACTGTGGTATCTTACACCGTACAGAGAGAAGCCATTGTGTTTCTGCTAATATTTTAATTACAATAAATTATTTTGTTACTAAGCAAAGCAGACATTCAAGAACATCTAGGGCAAGAACCCAACTGAATTACGGCCCTTTCACTGTTCTTTCAATTATAAGTCTTCCTACGCTGAAACCCCAAGGTAACTGCCACAGCTACCCGTGTGCTTGCTTATAGTTTAAAAAGTTACAAGAAAATGGTGGAAACGTGAACATGCAGTTTGGCAGCGTATTTTCTGCTTTAAAACTCAAGCAAGTTCTAGAAATTCTGCACGATCGCTGCCTGCGACAGAAGCAGAGCACTGCCGTGCTCCGTCCTGCAGCGATTCCCTCCCCACACCCGGTTCATTCCATTTTTGTACTCAGAAACGTTTCAGGGGCGAGCGATCTATGAGCCTCCACCTCCGAGCGCTCCCGAACTCAGAACGCCCTCACTTTTGGTGTGTTTGCATGGGTAATATCATTCTAAATTACAAAATTAGAAATGTACATGTTTAAAGGTTTTTCAAAATTAAATTATACACAAACTGGTCTTTACTAAACTATCCTACAAATATTCCACAAACAAGGCAGCAAAATAACCAGTCCACCACAAAGTCTACAAATACAAAATGTAAGTCTTCCAGTAATTATTGTAACGGGAACAAAAGTTCAGAAAATAAATTAACCTCCAGCTCCTCACACAGTGTTACAGGAGGTATTTTTATGTGAATTGAAGGGTTTCCAACGTTAGCAGAGTCATGAAACAATCCAGACAGTCACCTCTAGGCATCCCCCTCTCCCACTCAGCCGCTGAGTGGATCCTCCCGGTAGTGGATGGCGTATCGGAGCTTTTCCAGCATTATGTCCAGTGAGGAGTACTGAGGAAGTTTGATCATGAACATGCACGTTTCAACACGGATGTACCGGGAGTCTGGAGAACCTGCAGGGGAAGAAGCACCAGAAGGGGTTTGCACAGGCCCTCCGCTTTCCACCTCATTCTCCAAAAGCATCCTTCCCCCACGCCCCTTACTAAGAAGTATGAAAATAATAAAATTCCCGCCCATAACGTGTCTCTTGAACCTTAAATACTGCCGCGCTTCTCAGTCAGTCCTCAGGCCGATATTTTTCTGACGGTCCAATCATTTTAGAAGCATACGAGACAAATACGATACAAAATCTCTTACCGTCTCTAGGGGGCAATGTTTTAAGTACTTAAAGTTTATTTTAAATTTTATTTTTTACATGGTTTAAAACCAAGTTCGCTCTCTTCTTATTTACAGTCATAACTACCTGCCTCTCTGTGCATTAAATGCACTGTTAAATTGAAAAGAAAGGGGGACTGAAAGCTAGAGCCACGATGCGAGCAGAACCGATTTTCTTTGCCTTAGGAGACGGTGGGCAGACGTACCCGCAGCTCCGTCGGGGGGGGCTATTTTCATGGGGTACGGCGGGACGTGGGCGGTATCAGGGCCTCCGTCTTTGCAAGGACAGGTGAAGGGGATGCGCTCCTGGTTACAGGCGAACTTTATGAACTTGCAGAGCTCCTCCTGAGTGAACATCTCCAACGCGCTCCAGAAAAACTCGATGTGCTGATCAGTTTCCATCAAGCCCACCTGGTACATGGTGTGTGCCTAAGAAAAAAGAAAGCAAGACGTCCACTGCTGCTTTCTTTTCCCTTCGTAAGTCTTCCCCGCTTACACTTTACGAGGACAGAAGGGGAGGGTAACTACACCTCTCTCCCCAGGTTCTCCCGCCTTTTCAAAATCATTAGGAAATCCAGCCATGGTAGAGTGTTAATATAACGTGGGTTTGTATCTTTTTAGCCCATCAGCTTCTGTAACAGGCTTGTCTTAGCACGTTTCCCCTGTGGGGCAGGTAGTGTACACTGCGATTTTATTTAATGTGCAGGCCTGGGGCAGTTCAGCATCGCTGCTGTTTAAGGAAAACACAAAACAACGCTAACACCCATGGTTGAGAATATTCTACGACTTCTGACACGAGAGAACGGTTCTTTTCCTGGCATAATTCTTACGGTAGCAAAATGAAGGTATTTAGGACCAGAAGT